TACAAACTGTGATGGTCCATTAATAATGTCACGCAAATTTGGCCCATTTTCAACCCCCTTCCCCCCTTCGTCACATTTTTTGTATGAATCTTATTTTTTCTTGTATGGCTCGTCACAGTTTTCAAAACCCCTATCCCCCCTAAATGTGTGACATAATTAATGGACGACCCCTTATTGAATAAACTATGCTTTTATATCTTGTATCATCTTTTATTCAACGCTTAGCCTAATTTAAGCATTGTTTACCATGCTCGGAACAGGTTCCTTGCGCCTAACGTATATTATGCCTAACGTCCATTAAGCCTAATAACTTTATGCCTAACGTCTTTATGCCTAGCGTTTTTATGGCTCAAGGGGGTATACTCTACTTCAAGCGCAATCAGAATTTTTCGATTCGGGACGTGGCCGAGAAGGTCAATTCTTCCGTCTTGTTTAAGGTAAAAATGTAATTGTTGATCCTAATACTTTATCTTTCAAACGAATCTGTTTAAAAGACGTAGGCCTTGGTGTTGGTTCTGATCGTTGGATTTTTTGACAGCACCAGTTGGATTTTTGTTGAAAATCATTTCGAGAGACTTAGTGCTGGCGCCAACCTTCTGATGAGGAAACTATACCCCATTTTCATGCTCCTTCCTGGATCCTTCCCTCGCAAATGTTACCCTATTAATCTCAATTAATCAATACGATTTTAAATTGGCTCATTACTTGCGTACCCCATTGTGTCCAAGTATATCTGTTTGCGTATCCTATTCTCTGGCAAAGTATGTTTTTGTTTTGTTTCGCCCAATGAATTTGACAAAGTTTTAATGAGGGGTTCCTACGTTTCGAGGGGTGCTTCAATTAGCTTGGTACCAAAGATATGGTACATCGAAATGTCAGTTCCATAAATCTAACGCGATTGAGCCTTTCAACTAAATGAATCGTAAAAAAAGCTAACAACCTTCCATATGACCAGGATCACGAGATAGCGCTGCTGTTCTGCTACGTGTTCTCTATTAACCTGATTTCCATTAGAGCAAGCCTAATAAAGCGCGATATTGGGGCGTTAACTGTTTATTAAAGTAACACACGAATTCTTTAAAAAAGATCACATATTTTCTTCGTTTATAAATGGAACTATGTTTGAATGATTTTTTAAAGCTTGTCGAATTGAATTTTTTTGAAATTGAAATTAACTGAATTGAGAAATTCTTCGAGTCTCGAGTACTTCGCAATAAATACATTATTGCATATGTTGGTACCCTATGAAACCTTAACCTGAAGCCACATCAAAGTCATGTTAACAATTTAGAATTATAATAATTATTCTTTATTTGCAATCCTTTGCCTTAAAGCCGTACTCCCGTATCACAGTTCAATTAGCTTAAATATTCGAGTTCACCGCACAACGTTTACTCCGGCTGGCCCTGTCCAAAAACGGTACAGGTGTCCCGAATTCCTGGCAGACACATCGAATGACGCTCGGAAAACACGTGGAAATTTGGACACTCCCGTTCCGTAGCCTTTCCGACCATACAGCTGACATACATATAACAGTAGTACGGATGTGGAACCAGTGCCACAGTCTTACCTTCACAAATTTCATCCGTTATCGGTGCAAGAGTGGTGGTAGAGGGCCCTTCCGGATCAATCACCGTAGTGCAGGTATTCGGATTACCGGGAAGGCAAACATGAAGCCGCTCGTTGAATACCGTCCAGCTGGGACATTCCCGCTCTTCCGGGAACCAGAACTGACAGTGCACAAAACGGGTGCAAAGCTGAGGATGCGGTAGCCGACCAAATGGACGTCCATTCAACAAACAGAAGTCTCCTGGAATCGGTCGAATTTCTCCCGGGGCGGGAGTGGTTGTTGTTGGAAGAATTTGAACCGCGCAAGATTCTGCATCTCCTGGAAGACAAATGAACGCTCGCTGCGAGAAAACAAATCCATCGCGACAGGACTGCTCTCTCAGCTGACCGAGAACGCAGCTTTTGAACTTGGTACAGCTCTCCGGGTGTGGGAATCTAGCCAGCACGATTCCTCTGCAAGGATTATCGTCCTCCGGTTCCACAGGATATCCTTCCTCGCAAGTTTCCTGATTTCCTGGAATGCAGGTTATATCTTCAGCAGAGAAGATTGTCCCTTCCGGACACGTCACAACTTCAGCTTCTTCTTTGTAACAAATGAAAAACTGGTAGCACACATCCGGGTCCACCAGGATACCGCTTAGGATGCCTTCACAAGGATTATCAGACCTCGGGGCTGCTTCAACTTGCATCACCGCAATTAACAATGCCAACACTAGTGACCTCATTCTGTTGGTACCAATTTCCGAATGTTGATTCCGATCTAAATGAACTGTTTACTGTTTTTGATATGATTCCCAACACCGATAGACAAGTGGCTTTTATACGAAACAGTATCGAAAACCTGGATCCGATAAAACTGATAAGGTGAATCACGGTAATCGCATAATCCACGAATTTACTGGATCACTGTGACGACGTCGTCGTTTCGGGTGGATTGTATTGGGATAGCTTATCTGGGAGGATTTGTGTTATAGCACCTCTCCGAGACTATTGAAATTGAGATGATTGCCGGTTTGGCGATACTTTAAGTGTGATATCAGAGCTGGACAAGCATCTGCATGATACGGAGCGGCAAATCTGTTTGTACACAAAGCTTTATTTGGGTGGGATTTGAGTTGTGATTGGCCATGCACACCGGCGATGATATCGATGTGAATACATTGCCTGTTAAAATTGTGAGGAAAACAAACAAAAATATAGTTTGGAAAAACTCTTAAGCTTCATCCCTGGATGACAGTGTGGACTTTGTTCATATGGAACAACCCGTTTAAATCCGACACTTTGCCCTCCATTTGAATCATGATTTTCTGTGGAATCTCCATTGTTTACTGTCACTCGCAGCTGCATTTGATGGATTACTGGAAGCCAAATGATGATTTGACAAATTGAAAAATATGTACAGCCGTCCCTCCATGTATGCTTTAGGTGGTTCCTTGCACCCACCGCTGTTCCTCGGCTGTCATTTAACCAATTACGCTTTTTTTTTTGTATGTGATTAGTTTCAACCAAAAACTAGGAATCTACAGAAAATCAGCTCAAATGGTTGAAGGACAGCCGACAAATAGCCGACGGTACCACCCACCGCATAGATGGAGGTATTACTATAAGTCATACATTGATTCTACATCGTGTTATCGGTGAGGAAGCGTACTCATTACAAACGTTACGCGATTCCTGGGCAAAGGTTCACACCAGGTCAGTGTTTCTCAATCTATGGGTCGCGACCCACTGGAGGGTCGTTGGCTGCCCTCAGATGGTTTGCATACATTCAGACAACTTCAGGTTTTTAAAATGTTATGCATAATTTATCTGAATATTAAATTATGTTGGAACGGCGCCGGTGGTGTAGTGGTAAGCGTGATTACCTCTCACCCCAGCAGGCCTGGGTTCAATCCCAGTCGGCGCCGCCGGGATGTTCTGAGGCATAACATCTCTGATCACGCCTTCCTTCGGAAGGGAAGTAAAGCCGTTGGTCCCCGGTTCATGAGATAGATGGGTCGATAGGTAGGGTCCAGGTGTGGGAGCTGCCTTCCTGGCACGTCGATAGCATTGGTACTCAGCACGGAAAACAAGATCGACGGAAAAAACAAACCAAAGGAAAAAAAAAAATTAAATTATGTTGGGATAATCCACATTGATCTACATTATAAACCATTGATTTTAATATTTTGCTTGATTAAAGCATTGCAGTTTTGTAATAATAACTTAAGGCTCTAATCAGAATATTGTGGTGATTAAAAATCATTCAACAATTTCAAATTAATGGGCAGCGTTTTTGAAGCTAATTTGGCGTTCCCAAAGCTATTACATCAAAAATATTGAGACGTTTTTAGACAATATCGGTGATATTCTGGTCATTGAGGCTTTGGAAAGCTAGTTTAGAAAATGAAGGAATTTTTTGAATTTTGCGACCATTTTTTGTGTTTTTAGAGCCATTTGTCGAAATTTGTCGTTTTCAAAACTATTTTAAGAGCCGTCTAATCATTTTAGTGAATTAAACTCGAAGCTTCATGTAAGATAGCATTTCCAACCAACTCTGAAAATCGCAAGCTTCGCGTATGAAGTTACATAAAAACACGTTGAATGTAAATTGTCAATACTACTTTCAATTTTGTTGATTTTTTTTAAATGCTAATTTTTAATAATTTAAAATTCAAGCCATTTTAACTTAAGCAAAACAATCAAAAGCTTTTTAATATTGGTAAATTTTGGCTATCCCAACATATTTGTGCATGAAATTTTTAAATCATGAGTTTTCTTAATTCCTGCGCGTTATAGATTGAGAAACACTGCCCTAGTGTGTACTTTTACCCAGGAATCGGGAAATGTTTGTAATGAGCACGCGCCCGTTCCGATAACACAATTTAAATCCAATGTATGACATACATATTTAGCAATTTGTCAAATCATCATTTGGCCTCCAGTAAGTAATCCATCAAATGAGGGAGGGCAAAGTGTCGGATTTAAAATGGGCTATTCCATTTGCACAAAGTTCAATGTCATCCAGGGATAAAACTTAAGCGTTTTCTCAAACGATTTTTTTTTTTCAATTTCCTCACAATTTTAACAGGCAATGTATTCACATCGCTATCATCACCGGTATGCATGACCAATCTCAACTTAAATCCCACCCAAATAAAACTTTGTGTACAAACAGATTTACCACTCCGTATCACACAGATGCTTGTCCAGCTCGGATATCACACTTCGAGTTTCACCAAACCGACAATCATCTCAAATTCAATAGCCTCGGAGAAATGCCATAAAACAAATCCTCCCAGATAAGCTATCCCAATACAATCCACCCGAAACGACGTCGTCGTCACAGTGATCCAGTAAATTCGTAGATTATGCGATTACCGTGATTCACCTTATCAGTTTTATCGGACTCAGGTTTTCGATACTGTTTCGTATAAAAGCCACTTGTCTATCGGTGTTGGGAATCATATCAAAAACAGTAAACAGTTTATTTAGATCGGAATCAACATTCGGAAATTGGTACCAACAGAATGAGGTCACTAGTGTTGGCATTGTTAATTGCGGTGATGCAAGTTGAAGCAGTCCCGAGCTCTGATAATCCTTGTGAAGGCATCCTAAGCGGTATCCTGGTGGACCCTGATGTGTGCTACCAGTTTTTCATTTGTTACAAAGAAGAAGCTGAAGTTGTGACGTGTCCGGAAGGGACAATCTTCTCTGCTGAAGATATAACCTGCATTCCAGGAAATCAGGAAACTTGCGAGGAAGGATATCCTGTGGAACCGGAGGACGATAATCCTTGCAGAGGAATCGTGCTGGCTAGATTCCCACACCCGGAGAGCTGTACCAAGTACAAAAGCTGCGTTCTCGGTCAGCTGAGAGAGCAGTCCTGTCGCGATGGATTTGTTTTCTCGCAGCGAGCGTTCATTTGTCTTCCAGGAGATGCGGAATCTTGCGCGGTACAAATTCTTCCAACAACAACCACTCCCGCCCCGGGAGAAATTCGACCGATCCCAGGAGACTTCTGTTTGTTGAATGGACGTCCATTTGGTCGGCTGCCGCATCCTCAGCTTTGCACCCGTTTTGTGCACTGTCAGTTCTGGTTCCCGGAAGAACGGGAATGTCCCAGCTGGACGGTATTCAACGAGCGGCTTCATGTTTGCCTTCCCGGTAATCCGAATACCTGCACTACGGTGATTGATCCGGAAGGGCCCTCTACCACCACTCTTGCACCGATAACGGATGAAATTTGTGAAGGTAAGACTGTGGCACTGGTTCCACATCCGTACTACTGTTATATGTATGTCAGCTGTATGGTCGGAAAGGCTACGGAACGGGAGTGTCCAAATTTCCACGTGTTTTCCGAGCGTCATTCGATGTGTCTGCCAGGAATTCGGGACACCTGTACCGTTTTTGGACAGGGACAGCCGGAGTGAACGTTGTGCGGTGAACTCGAATATTTAAGTTAATTGAACTGTGATACGGGAGTACGGCTTTAAGGCAAAGGATTGCAAATAAATAATAATTATTATAATTCTAAATTGTTACCATGGCTTCGATGTGGCTTCAGGTTAAGCTTTTATTAATTACCTCAATAGCGCACATATTATGGACCACGCTGATGGAAATCGTGGTAATAGAGAACACGTTGCATATGAGATTTGGCTTAATTGGTCCCAACATGGACTGCGTCGAGTTGCGCCGGTGGTGTAGTGGTAAGCGTGATTGCCTTTTAATCCAAAATGTCAGGGTTCAATCCCAGTCGGTGCCATCGGGATTTTTGAGGCATTATAGTTCTGATCAGCAAAGAAGTAAAGCCGTTGGTTCAAGGAGTTTGATGGGTCAAGGTCTCTTGAAATTTCGTTGGAATTCTGCTCGGAATTCTTCTGAAACTCTCCTTCGAAATCTTGGGAACGAGTACCAGCTTTGATGCTATTGCTCCAGTATTTCGCCCTACGGCCTTACTCAAATATTACATAAATTTTCAAGGTTTTATTTGCGTAGATATACGGCAAAATCTATGGTCTAACCAAGCATTTGGAAAAGAGTGAATAAAATTTAAAATCAGGATCAAGGCTAGCAAATGTCATAGTCAAGAAAAGATCTCAGGTGATATTTGCAGAGATACTACTATCATTTGGACGAGAAAACGATGATAGAGATTTTCTTCAAAATCTCATCGAATTTTTAGTCATGTCAGAACGTGACAGCGTTGTGGTCATTGTAATTACTAGCTCATATATTCACTCTACCGATTACATACGGTTGTGTGCTTAAATTCATCTAAATTAGTTAGAAATGTTGATATCAAAACCGCATAGGAATTATTCTCATGAGTGCTTGATCATTAAAAAAGGGCAAGAAATCTAATGATAGGTAGTTTCGTCTCGTGAGAGTGAGACGACCTGTTTTCACATCGTCTCATGACGGCCGTGATATTTACCATTTCTGATCAAGATAGAGATGATTAAAGGACCTCTAGAACCAAAAACTGGCCCACTTACCCTATTAGAAGCTTCTTCTGAATCTTTATGGAACGATACTCAGTATGCTTACGAAATATGTTCAAAATTCCATTTACTATTCGCTTTGGATTTTGTTTGGAAATTACTAGATTTCTTAAGAATTTTGAGGGGTTTACAAAATTCTTAAGAAATCTCCTAGCAATTTCTTTGGAGCTATTTTTTTCTTGATTTGCTTTCCGTCGATCTTGTTTTCCGTGCTGAGCACCAATGCTATCAACGCCAGGGAGGCTGCCTATCTATATACCTACCTATCGACCCATCAACTCATGAACCGGGGACCAACGGCTCTTGGATCTCTGTTCAGATTTATTTAATCGATTTATTGATTGATTGATTGACAATTAAGAGTTCACCATAGCCGGTCAAACTCTACACGAATCTAGAACCGCAGTACTGTTCATACTGGTGACAACGCTCTGATGAGACAACGAAACCCCTCCCTAAGTTCTTCCTCTGATCCTATCTTTTGACAATGTACTCCTCTAACCACGGGTAAGCCGCGAGTATTCGGCCCAGCGCATACTAGGCATAGAATTAATTTTTATTTTGAATTGCTTTAGTGCGAGATTTTCAACACAATGGCTAGTTCACCTTGTCATAGTATTAAGTGAAATTTGTTACAAACAATGAGTCATCGGCAAACTGGAACTAGATAAAACAAAATTAAGAGATTTTTCGACGTATGCTGGTTCACTTCTAGAAAATAATTAGAATGTATCAAAAGGGACCCTCGTTGGCTGAGTATAACTTAATTAAAATGCTACATAGAGAATTATGATCATCTATATTTTAATTATTAGGGACAGTGCCAGGGTTTTGCAGTTTCAGGTACTCAATTTTGTAGTCTGTGAGAGGAAATCACAAATTAAGTGTTGTAAAAATCCGCCGATATTAATTTATGGGCAAATCATCCACGACGCAGCTAATCAATGTTCAACTTACCCGTGCAGCAGCTTGAATCCAAATCAAGAACAACAATTGAAAAGGCCTCAACTCCATTTGGTAAACAAACCTTGTAAGGCCATTTTGTCGCAAACCGATGTCCGCCATCGCAAACCAACAACTAACATCATGGCGCCACCCACCTTTCTATTGGCATAATGTTAATAAAAAAATGTATGGAGAGTTGATTTGATTTCCATTTTTTTTGCGTAATCAGGGAAAACAATATTTTGTAGTTATGTTCCTCAAAAATTTGCTGAACCACCAGTGTCAATTTTTACTTTAAAACCAGTATTTCCCTTTTTTCATATAACCAGAAACAAATCGCCGTATCTTTTTCTAGCGACATCGGCTGCGTCTAGAATTAAAACTCACTTTGACAACGTTAATCGGCTGGTGATTTTCACAGTAGTCTGGAACCAGATCACAGTATCTGCTGTTCGGCTCGGACAATTTCTGCAGCAAAGCCTCAACGTGATCATTGCGATTCTGCTGTTCTTCTACCTGTTGTTGTTTAACTAGCTCCTCAATGCGAGTTTCGTACATCTCGACAAGCCGCTGCTTCTCGGCATCAATGTCATCGTCGCTTCCGCAAGCACGATCCTGCGTGTGTACGTACGAATCCTTGGAATGGATCGACTTGGTCGTAATGTCCTCGAAATGTCCCGAATCGGCAAACGAGCTCTACATCTCCGAGGTGGACATCTTGTCCATGAACTGTACCTGGTAGATGCTATGATTGTGTAAATAATGCCGGGGACTGGCTTTGCTACACTCGTTAGTTTTATCCACAATCGGTGAAATTTCCTGAGAGCTGGGCATGAATACACCGTTGGTGGTCTTCCCCCTCACCGTTACGGCGTCACTGGAGTTTGAACGTTCTTCCGGGGAACTGAGCGATGCCTTGAAGAGCCGCAGCTCAAGAACCTCTTTGGTAAGTTTTAGAATTTCAGTATCACGCTGTTCCCGGTCTATGCGAGCCTGCGAGAGCAGCTCCTTAGTCGTCTGATCTGGCGCTGAACCCGCTGGGTCGAGGTAAGGTAGTCCTCATCCGTCTGTCCGGCATGGCTCGGGCAATGTATTACGTCCCAGCGAACAATCCCCTATTGAAGAAACGGCACCTTGACGATTTTATTCAACTGCATGTTTAATAATACTTGTACAATTTTTATTAATAACTTCTGTTCAGGCTTTGTTCACACAAATCTGGAGAATTTATTCAACCACAACATAGTGTTGGCGAAGGTATGTTGAGAAGCTTTTATTCGACTTCCTTGAGTTGTAACAAAGCTTATTCGATCAAATTTTTCATTATTCAGCGTTTATTAGACATCTTTTTCCTTAGATAGCGATGATGTATACGCTTGATTGTCATTTGAAGTAACGTTTTAATTAGACTCTATTATACATTTATAAAAAGATTATTAAACTGCAGAAAATTAACCCGAAAATAAAAAAAAAACGACAGACATACAAGCGTTGTCTTTCCATGAGTGATTGTTTTCATTATTTTTGATGAGGGCGCACCACACAGATGCTAGAAAATTTATTGCATACATGTAAATGTGCGTTGCATGTACCTTCCAATTACCAGCCGCTTGCCTTGTCATCTGAGCTATCCTAGAATACATCATATGGGCTGCTCAATATTCAATTAAAGCTTGCTTGAAACTGAATATCTATCAGCACTTCCGATCGTCCCTAGGTCCAATGGGAATCATTAATTCATTCATCGTTGTTTTACATGAGACCAATTCTACCTGTTCACCTCTTCAATTTCTAAGGAAAGGATGCTGCACACATAGATTTTTTTTGACGAGATGGGCAACACCGAGCAGCTCGGCAATCTATTTTGCTGGATCTCAGTGAAAAATTTACCGAGATTCAGTTAACAAACGGGAATTTTGCCGAGATCTCCTGCTCGGTGGTGCCAATCTCGGAAAAAAAATATCTAAGTGTGTGGATTATTTATTAAACTAAATCAACAAATGTGTTGTCGTGAGTGATGTGATCGATTATTACGATTTAGAACAAAAAAAAAAGTTGAGCTTGGGATTGAACTTGCGACCTTCTACTTGGAACGCGGTAGCCACTACTCTACTGATTTCGTCATGTTGTTAGACGGAACCAGTGTTGTGGAATAATAAATCTAATACGTCGTTTATAAAGCATTTACAAAGCATGCAATCAAAACATGGACGCATAGTAGTATAAGAGCTATTTTGCTGACTGTATTCACCTTTATACAGCAATATTGTAAAGCAATGCAATGAAACCTAATAATCGAGCTAAAAACCATTTATAAGACGCAAGGGGTAGTTCACTCCACACACCAATCTTGGGTCATCTTTATTGTCAGTGTGGCGCAGGTGTTCCGATTGTGCCGGTCATAGAGCAAGCTGCGATTGTTTGTAAAATACCCATCCCGGCAACCCGGTATTTCTGACACCTTGAATGTTTTGGTTTGACATCGCAAGGATAAATCGGATTGAGGATGACGCGGGAAGTGGCGGGTGTGCGAAATTTTGGTGAATTAAGGGTACTAATGGGGTCTGATGAATTACCTCTTTATCTTGAGCCCACTCTAGAACTTACATTTCGTATTTAGATCTATAAGTGAACTGCTGGTCTGAGTTCGTCTGATATATTCAATTAGAGGATGCTCCTGAATATACAGTCAAACAGCACGTAATTTTGTGAACAACTTCAATGGCAGTTGTCCAGCAGTGCTCCCATTTTATTTACAACAATCCAATGCCTACGAGATTGTGCCGAAGGTATGTCGAAGGTATGCCAAAGATGTGCCGATGGATGTACCCAAGCTGTGCCGAATCTAATTTCGGTACAATGTGCTGAGTGACTTACCCTTGATAAGACGTCTAATAAAGCATGCTATTAAATCAATTGAAAACAGTCGATTTGAAGCGTCAATTTATGTGCAAATTACACTTATTCAGTTTTTTTTATTGGATTACCCTTCTGGTGTGGAATCAGGAAGACAGTCAACGTTCTGAAGCAGATCGAAATGGTAG